AGGCGCGGCCCGGCCAGATGGCCGCGCTCCAGGGCCTAGCCGCCGAGCGGGCGCGACGGTGGAGTCGTGCAGGACCGCGATTTATTTCGCCGAGCGAGCGTTGGCCGCGTACCGAGCCCCGAGGGAGGAGGAGGGCGAGATCGCACTGTTTCCTTTTCCTTCGGGCCCTTCGTCTTTATCTTTCCTGAGGGGGTGAATGAAATATGTATGGCCCCTGCCGTTCCAGAATCCTCTGCAGACATTTATTGAACCTCCACTTCGGGCCAGATCTTCCAGGGGCTGGGGATACAATGGAGAACACGGCATCCATGGTCGTGGAAGGTGATATTCAGCAAGTGGCTGTTAAAAACCTCCCTGAGGGATGGGAGGTGGACAGCTTTCTATCAGAAGACCAACGACTGTCTCCCAAGCCATATCCCAGAAAATAAAAGGGTTTTATCCAGCCAAGATATGTATGTAGATATACAGTTGAAGGAAAACGCCATGCCCCGAGACAAGACTCGGCAGCTTCTGCTCCCCAGTCAATCCCTTTCCAGCTGCTTTGCAATCCTAAATCTCCGCTATGAGCCCATGTCCCAGGTACAGCGTCGGTGCTTGGTGATCACGATACAATGGATGGTGCGCTAAAACACGGAGTTAGCAGTGGTGTTCAAGCAAAGGGGTGCTCAGCACGTCTCAGTGCAGAAGTCAGTGGAGCTGGACAGCTGAGGTACAGACCAGAGATCGTCAGGGTAGAAGTTTCCTGACTTGGGGAGTGAATGGATGAGCCTAGTGCTGTGCAGAGTGCAGGGGACATGGTAGGTCCCCAGTAAGTTCTTGGATGAAAGACTGACTGAGGGATTGGGGGGCAGATTTGGTGCAGATACCTGCTTGATAAGAGGGGTTTAAGGGTGGGAGAACTGCAGCCTGGATCTACTGGACTCAAGTGCTGCTGAAAGTGTAGGTGGACATGGCCGCTCAGAGGAGGCGAACTTGAAGAAAAGTCAGGACTGGAGAGATTTGGCAACCATCCATATAGAAAGGCGTATTGAAGGCCTCCCAGAAAGAGAGATCGTTGATCAAGGAGGAAAAAATACTGCAGAGCAACTCACGCTACCTTCCCTTTTATGCACAGTTCCTCTTTCTTACCTGCTTGTCTTTTCCCGAGTGTTGTCCATTTTCCGTTCACCCGATCCCGCTTCCTTTATCAGTACACAGATAGCATCCTTATCCTAGTTTCTTGTGAACCCTCTATACGTGTACATGAGTGTACTCTGTCACTGTTCCCTTCTGTATGACCAATGGACCGAGCATACATTAAAAATAATAAAAATTCCTGGGCCAGCAGTTGGTATGATGGTTAAGGTGCTGGACTCTCACGTGGCCGACCACTGTTCAAGTTCCGAACCTGGCAGTTTGCTTTCTCACTTTCCTTCTTTCTCTCTGTCTCTCTTTGGTCAAATTAAAATGAATGCATGAATTAAAAATAAATAGAGCCTTGTTTTAAAAACAAATAATTTAAAAATTCTTGTAGGGTGTGTGCACTCACCAAAGAAAGTAAGAAAGCACCATCACCCCTGGGGGTTGGGGGGGTGACCATTTCACAGTCCCTTCTCTTTTCTCCTCTCTGGATTTTGAGCACACATACACGTACACACAGCCAGCAGGTTTTTCAAGCCACTAGGTCCAGGACTTCAATCACACAGTGAGCCATGTGAGATCCAACCTCCTTACAAGCATTTTGATCTTGAGACTTTTTTTTTTTTGAGAGGATTTTTCACTATAAGGCGCATGTGCTCACCAGACAGACAGAGACAGAGAGACAGAAAGCGAGAAATCACCCCCCAGGGGGGATGGTCACGCCGCAATCCCTTCTCCTCCATTCTCTCAGGATCTTGGGCACACATGCACACACGCCCGGCGTGAGTTTTAAGCCACCGGGTCCAAGACGCGAACCGCGGTCAACTACATAGGAGTCTAGCGACATAGCCATTATGCTAACTGCTGGTCCCAAGACTTTTTTTTTTTTTTAAGGATTTTGCCATAGGGTGTGTGTGGACTCTCCTCAGAGACACACAAAGAGGGAAAATGAGAAATCACCTCCTGAGAGGGATGACCACACCAATCCCTTCTCCTCCAGTCTCTTCTTGGGAAGTTGGGCTTGCATGCACTCACACTTCGTATGATTTTGAAGCACATGAGTTCAGTATTATTTTCGAGTCACTGGGTCTGGGACTAGAACCATGACCAGCCACGTGGGAGTCCAGCGCCTTGAGCACCATACCACCTGCTGGCCCTTTTATCTTGAACCTTTTGAGCTGAATAGAAATGTAGTAACTCAATTTAAATCATAGACTGAATAGACTGTATAGACTGTAATAGACTGTAGTAATCATAGACTGAATAGACTGTAGTAACTCAATTTAAATCATCTCAGGATATTTTCTCCAGCCTTCTCAAAGATCTCAGTTTGTTCTCCTTTCAACTTTCTTACAAATTAGGTAAGGGCGATGGGATAACCATGTCAAAAATCAGGGTCATTGAGAGACTTGTAAGGTTATAATGTCTGAAACACCTTTCTCTAGCTTTTCTTGAACAGTCACTCTGAGGTCAGAGAGACCTTTGTTCAGATCAGGATCCCCACATATAAGCTATGTGAGCTTGGCAAATTCTGTCCCCTCTCAGCTCCTGAGCCTGAGAACATTAATATCTACCTAGCAGGAGTCTAGGAGGTTTTTAAGGAGGTAATGCAAAGACAATGTCCAGCATAAATGATAACTGTTGCTTCTCTTCATGTTGTTTCTAAGCCAAGTCCAGCTTGGCAAGTGAAAAGTAAAAGAATAAAAGAAACAATTCTTTTTTTTTTTTTTATAGATATTGTCTAATTTGCTTGAATTCGGGAAATCAGAAAGTCGTCTCTAATATTATAGTTGCCATTTCTGAACTCTTGATTCTTACTTGAACTTAAGTCTTCCTTAAGTTGATAAGATATGTCTGTCTTTTTTACTATTTTTAAAATTTAATTATTA